GTTGTCCCATCTGAAATTGCAGGGCTGTATTCAGCCAGGAAGTTCCAAAATGGTCTTCAAATTACCATTACTCACTGAATTGTAACTTTTCATGTGACAGAAGGGGAAAAGAACATTTCCATTTACATCATCATCATATCATCATTATCCTGTGTTATGGTTGTAGATACAAGGTCCACTTTTCAAATTGTCAAATGCCATTTTGCATGATCAAACACAGCATCTGGGTTATGTCTGCATTTTGATGGATATAGCTGTAGATCCATTGGTTGCAATAAAAAAAACTTGACTGACTGGCTTGTTGCCTGGGCCTGACATTGGTTTGGTCTGTGTTCAGGTCAGCACCACCCTGGCAGCTGGGCAGTATCCAGTGGCATCTTTAGGAGGAGCAGACCTCACTGCCAATATTTCCATTTACATACAGTACATGAAGGGAAATTAAGCCATGATCCCAGCCATATTCATCGTCTTTGTCTCCCTACAGAATAAATCATAGTCTTCCTCCCCACTAAAGTTGACACCCTTTCCCCCCTAGGACAGGCGTGTCAAACTCAATTTCATTGAGGGTTGCATCAGCATTGTGGTTGCCCTCGGGGGGCCGGGTGGGTGCGGCCTACTGGGTGGCGTGGATGGAGTGGGTGTGGCCTACTGGGTGGGCATGGCTAGCTCTATATTGTTCGCGTCAAGGGTGCCTGTGGGGGCCTGGACAGGAGTGGGACAGATCTAAGGGTCTCTGGCAGAACCGGGTGGGACCGGGGCAAGCGCCAAGGCATGGTTCATTTCTTCATTTCTCACAAAGGCTGACACCTCCCCAACATGCACCCAGGAGGCGGGGCTGACACAGCAGGGGCTGGTTCCTCGCTGTTTCTAGACGGCCTTGTGGAGCTAAGACTGAATGCGTTTCAGCATAGATGGCTACCACAAAATTGTACATTGGCTCCCGGCCAGCCTGGGCCAGGGCCAAGGCAGTGGGGGCCGTTCCCTCACTGTTTCCAGGATGGCTCCGCGGGGCACATGAAACCACTTCGCAGGCTGCATCCGGTCCCCGGGTCTTGTGTTTGACATGTCTGCCCTAGGACCTCCCCAATGAGACTTATGAGCAGCATTTATAAGTATATAATATATCTATAATTTTAAACTAATTACAGCCTCTACAATTTATGGATAC